GGGAAATAAGCGGTTTGAGGAAACACTGGATTTTGTAATGAGCGGGGTTAGTGCGGGTTGCACGCCGAAAATTAGGGGAGAGGGTGAAAACGAGGGAAAAAGAGAAGAAAACGAGGGAAAAATAGAAGAGAACAAGAGAAAAAGAGAAAAAATCCAAGAGAAAAATAGACGAAAACAAGAGAAAAAGAGAAAAGAACAAGAGAAAAATAAAAAACAAGCGAAAAAGAAAAAAAAACAAGCGAAAAAGATAAAAGAACAAGAGAAAAAGAGAAGAAAACGAGAAGAAAAGAGAAGGAAACAAGAGAAAAAGAGAAGAAAACAGAAAAAGAGAAGAAAACAAGAGAAAAAGGTCTTTTTCTGGAGGTAACGGAAGAGAAAAATCACATTTAAACCGGTGGTTTCCTGGGGAAGGGTCCGTGGCTGGGGAGGGAGGAGGAGGGTCGGTGTGCAAAACAACCCCCAGCTCCGAAATTCAGGATTTCATTTCGAAAACGCTCCCGGTTTACCGTTTCTTCTCATTTCTTAGCTTCTGAGGGCGGCTCTCCCCGCGATGGCGGGTGGGTTAATGAACCCAAACCAGCTCGGGGATGTTTACACTTACCAAAATGTGGAACCGCTTAGGAGAGTGGTACCCATAAATAAAAAATTGGAAGAGGAGAAGGAGCAATTAGAAATAAGAGCAGATGCGAGACCCGTCCGATAGGTTAGGGTTTGGGTGGGTTGGTTGGTTTTTTTTTTTAATAGCATTTTTTTTCCCCCAAGCTCTTTTTAAAGTATAATATTCCTCTGCCTGTGCCCTTATAGAAAAAGGCTGGAAGAGTCCGCATCGCTCACACACCATCCCCGCAGCACCACGCTTTCCGGATTATTTTTGAAATTAGGGAAATAAGAGGGAAAATTGACCAATATCAAATAATATTGCCTTATAAATTCCTCTTCCTCATCCTCGTGCCGGCTCTAGGCTTGCAGATTGCTCCGGAAAAGCTTTTACGTGGATATTTCTGCAGGGAGCGGTTCCCTCTCCCTCTACCAGCGGGCTCCGAGGAGAAAGAAGCTGAATTTCCCTCTTCTGAAGACAAGTATGGGTTTGCCTGGTTCCCCTTCCCTTTCTCTGCCGTCTTGGAGACAGACCCTGGGAGAAATTAGGTGTATTTATTTCTTTATTTTCATCCCTGCTGGAAAGGAAGAGGGAAACAGATTCATCTCCGAGTCCAGGGGGGGGAAAAATAAATAAAAAAAGACATATATCCTTGCGGTGTCCAGCAAACTGCAAGTTGTTTCTCATTACCTTATCTCCAACACTTTAGCTGCTGGTTTTTAAGGCAGTTTTCTACCCTCTCTCCTTTAAATTAGCCATTTTCTTTACCGCCACTCTCCCCTTTAAAAAATAAACGGCGGAAATTTCGGGCTGAACAGAGTTTTGCAGGTGAACGCGTGTTTGCAGCCGGAGACGCTGAGGTTGTCAATGTGTTGCGTTTGTTAAAAAGCTCATTTGACCTGTAGCTATTCGAGGCAAACTCTCAAAAAGAGGGATTTCGGCCCCAAACGTGTGACGGTAACTGGTGCCCTGAAGATACCGGTGCGTCTGTGGCCGAGCACCTAGAGAGCACATTCGCGCACGTCTAACGTGGCTCGAAGTCAAGCGCTGCTTCTCCAGGCCGGGGAAATCTCACCCAAAAGAAAATCCATCAGCTGCGGAATTTTATGATAAAATCCCTTTTTATTATCCCCACATCCCGGAGGGGGGAAAAAAAAAAAATCAAAATGGGCTGGGTGCGAGTAAAGAAAAAAGGCGAATCCTTTATTTCAGTTAGGGGACAGACGAAAATAATTCACCGCAAATCTGCGGCACATGGGTATTTTTCTTTTCCTTTCTAAATTTTCCTCTTTACCTTTGTTTTTCGCCCTTCCCCCCCCCCTCATTGTTGCCCGAAAGATTTGGAAATCCCCCCTCGACACCCGTTTTTCTGAAGGAAAACCGCATTTATGTTTCTTCCCACCTCCAGACATCTCGCATACAAAGGAAAGTGGCCAAGGTATGAGTTTTATTGAAGGAAAATCGGCTCCAGCCGCTGGCAGTGCCTCTAAACCACGCTGCACCCGCACAGAAAAATCCCTACCTAGGTTTGGAAAGAAAATTTTTTTTTTTTTTTTTTTTTTTTTTTTTTTTTTTTGGGGGGGGGGGGGAAATAAAGGAGGGGAATTTTAGCTTT